CATATTTTTGTGAACTGAACCAAATTGAAAAATTGTCATTGTCATTATCGTTTGGATTTGATCATTTTCAATCAAAGGTCAAAAAATTAAAATCTTGATCGACACTCATTAAGCCTAAGAGATTAGTTTTCACTAGGTTTGTTTAGCTAGAAAGCATTCTGAAAACCTGTGAGAAATTAAAAATCCTTTCCTTATGTTATATAGAATGCACTTAATACAACTATGGTCAGGATAAGCTTACTAAGAAAAAAAATATTAAAATTAAAATAAATATTTAAAAATCCACACTGCAAAGCCGATTGATGGCTGTTTACTGATGTCAGGCGTTTCCCATTGGTGGATCTTGACAATAGGCTTTAACGACAAACCGTACAAGATGAAAAATCAGAATTTTATATTAAAGTGAAGCAAMACAAATTGATCAGTAATCTCCCTTAAGGTGACTGCCTACTTTTGAACGTTTGATTTGAGTTCACTATATGTGTGCGCTCAAAAACCGCTGATCTACGAGATTTTATTGAAGATGCTCGTTTTGAGCTTCAACAGGGCAAAACCCTCAAATCTTGCACAGGACTTTCTTTTTTTTTTATAATAGCTCATTCGAAAAAACTCCTAAAAATTTAGGTTACATCAACATTTTAGAAAAATTTTATATCTCTAACACATGAAAAATATAGATTTTTGTAGGGATTTTTGTTCGACTTTATGAGATCCTTTAAGAGCACCGAAGCTACAAAATATGACAAATCAATGTACCTCTTTGTCTTTTTGTCAAAAAAATATCTATGTATTATTGTAGAATGATTGACTAGCCGTCATTCGTGCAATCATATAGTCTGCAAATAACTATTATCTTATGAATCTCAATTTTTTTCTAGTCACTTCCGGTGGCGCAAGTTTTGCTCCAAAATCTCGTGCGTAGGCTTCTATTAAATGCTGATTATCTCAAAAACAAGCTCGAGACACCCAATTTTCTGTCCAGATTTGGAATCAGCATTAAACKTCAATACGGAAWATCGACGTTTAAAAAAACCATAACATGGATTATGAACCACAGAAATATCATACACTAACACTTCAAATTTCAATGAATTCGTGAGACTTGACATTGTATTACGGTCAAGAGTTGAGGTTGAAAYCGCTTGCGCATGCTTGATCAATACATCTTAGTTCGAAATGTCAATCATCGTGCGTTAACRAAATGTTGATGGCACTAAAAAAGGAAGATAATTTCCTTGTTTTCCACTGTGCCTCTTGGCGAAGAGCATGGAACTTATATTACTCAGTTTAGTTATTTTTTTCCTTTAAGAAGTAAAAA